TGTATTCCCTGACCAAACTATTTAAAATGACTTCTTCCCTCGTCAGTACCACCCCCCTTTCCTTCTTGGGGGAAAAGGAGGAGAATGAACTGGGAAAGGGGATCACCACATATTATCACCACATAATAATAATATACATATTGTTTTTAAAAATTTACATATCCTCTTTATTAGAGTAGTTCCACGAGAGAAGGAATTTTTGTGTTTTGTTCACTGCTTTGTTGGTAGCAAAACAGAATCTAGCACATAACCAAAAAAGGTTAAAGAATAAGCATGTGAGGGGGAAAAAAGGCAAATATAGTTAAGTAGGAATTTCCTTTTCTGTGGTACTCAAAACCTCTAAAATAAAAACAAATTTAAGATTTAATGAATTCCTTTATTCATTCAGCAACAATGCATTGCATGCCTGCTTTATCTACACCATTTCAAGCACTGAGGAAAGCATGATAAGGTCTTTGCTTTCACTTCAAATACTTCCAGTGGCAGACTCACAAAATTTACTTGCTCTCCTATTTTTCCTTTTGCTGAGTCAAAATAATTTCAAGCACAGATGCTAAATAAATATATTTATTATTGTCTGAGTAATAATTTAAATATGAAAATAGGAATATTTGATATAAAGCATTTAAAAAGCATGGTTTCAAAATATAATTTAAAATTCAATACAAATAATGGGAAAAAGCTTGATTTATCACTGATGAGATTTAAAAAGAACTTTTGTGTCAAAATATAATTTTAATTAAAATCCAACTTAGAAAAGTCTCTTGAGTCAACACTGAGGACAGTGAACTATTACTGAACAACTTCAGATGTAACTACTATGACAGGAAAATCAATATAACATTCTGGATAAATGACTGTGATGCAATTCAGTGGAAAGGACAGCTCTAGTCACTGGGGAAAGATTCTTCAAAAAGCTGAAAAAGCTGCTTGATGTTTAAGTTGTAACAGGCTTTCAACTCTGGCTGCACATAGGAATCACCTGGGGGGCTTTAAAAAAAAATACTAATGTCCAGGCGGCAGAGTCAGAGGATGCTGCATGGACATACTTCCAGAAACAAGTTGGAATTACAACTGAAATACGGAAAGGCTTCCAAATAATCAACAGAAAACTCAAAGGAGAGAACCCTGATACCCAAGGACGGAAGGTGGAGACCACATAGAAACTGGCAGTAGGGGCGGAGGTGTGAAAGGGCTGGCCGGGCACCCACAGATGGCAACTGAAGTCCCAGAGAGATATCTCAGCTGTGGGGCTGGGGAGGGTGCCACTGAGAACTCTGGGATCTAATCCCCAAGCTGGGCTCCCCAGCAGAGAGCACCAAATTGAGGAGGGTACCCACATAACATCTAGCTGTGTAAAGCAGTGGGGTGCTGTCTGCTAGGAAGTGGCAGCTGAAAGTTTGGGCACCCTCTTAAAGGGCCAACGCAAAAAAATTCCCCACCTTGTGCTCTGGCAGAGGGAGGGTGAAGTAGAATGGAGCTGTCAGAGCAGAACCCAGGATTGGGGACTTGGGGGATAGAGCTCAGAAGGCACACACCCTAAGTTTCCTGTGTTGAGTCATTCCCTCAGGCAGCAGAGGACATCTTTCCCACATAGACATTTGCCTTGCCTGGGGGGAAGACAGTTGACACACCCTATTGGAAAATGCCTTGCCCTGAGGCCAGTTAAGAGATTAAAAGTAACAATTAGCCTCCAGGCAGAAACAACCACCCCTGACCAGAATCGAACCGGGACCCCTCAGTCCTCAGGCTGACGCACTATCCACTGAGCCAAACCAGCCAGGGCAGAACCTTCTTAAATAGAGTTATTATTTGGGGTCTAGGGAGATAAGTGAAATAACTATTTTTTTTTCACATCTTTGATACTAATGACTATCAAGACAACAAATGGTAGATTTCTTTTTAATTCTTGTGCTCCCCCTCCAGTTTTACTAAGGGGGGGGGGGGGTATGCAGAGTAATTGTATACATTTAAGGTATACAGCTTGATATTGATATGTTATATTGTGAAATTAAATTATACTATAGTCAAGCTAATTAACATATCCATTACCTCACATATAGTTATCTTTTTCTTTTTTTATGGTGAGAACACTTAAAATTTATCCTCTTGACTTTGACTTGGGGTCTAAACTCAACTACTAGTTGTGTGACTTGAGATTATCCTTCATTTGTAAAATGGGATAATACCACTATTTTGGGACATTAAATGACATAATATACGTAAAGTGCCAAGTACAACCTGGCACACAGTGAGTAGTGACCACATGTATTGACATGGGCTAAACATTATTAACAAAAGACCAAAAATAACATCCTGGACAATGGTTTCCAACTCAAAATGCCTAAATTCCTAGAGCATATTATAGTAATAATGGGTCAATCTTGCAGTTGTAGTCTAACATTTTTTCCAGTGGGTTTCTAGTAAGTACTGAGAACTTCAAAACAGTTTAAAAATACAAGCCATCCAATTAGATCTATAGAAAGATAGCTCTAGAAAATATAGTCAAAGTAAATTAAATTGCTAGTTAATCTATCCTAAGTGGGTGGAATAAAAAAATGAAGTACAAACTTTGTATTTGTAATACAAGATTAAAGGTCTTATTCTAGTATCTCTTCTGATATGTCTTCAGTGACTTTACCAGTTTGCTCAGAACAGTGATTACATAAACACTGTCTTCAGGAAACTGTATGGGAGGTCCTTTTAAAATCAATGAAACAGGACATCCAGTCTTCACCTTCCTTCAGCTAACCTTTCGGTTAATGATATTCACTTTCTGAGAAATCCTGAACAAATCCTAACCTTTAGTGCTTTCACATTGATATTTGGCCCAAACCCTTTTTGACAAAGCATTTAGTTAAGTATTCAAAAGGCCTTGGCCCGTGGTTGGCAAACTGCGGCTCTCGAGCCACATGTGGCTCTTTGGCCCCTTGAGTGTGGCTCTTCCTAAGCCTTAGGAGTACCCTAATTAAGTTAATAACAATGTACCTACCTATACAGTTTAAGTTTAAAAAATTTGGCTCTCAAAAGAAATTTCAATCGTTGTACTGTTGATATTTGGCTCTGTTGACTAATGAGTTTGCCGACCACTGGCCTAGGCCAATCTGAACATCACTTGTGGTATTCCTAAACTTGTATGTGATCAGTGATCTTGTGATTGTGTAGCTTCCATGATATCTAACAATCTCAGTAATGAGAACAATCACATCATTCAGATTTACCTGAACATTCACTTTCAGATATAAACATTCTAGATGAAATGAACTGAAAATGTCCTTACATGTTTGTTTTATCAATCAATAGCAGAATAAAATGCTGCAGTAATTAATGATGTTTGGGAAGTTAATTTTATGTATAAAATAGTGACATATTTCAATTACTTAGCAAAATAGATTTCTACTTAATAGTACTAATATATTTAATAGATTACTTTCTCAATAACATTGTATCTTTAAAATTTTTTATAAAAATTCAAATATAACATAATAATTAGATTTAATCATAATTCAATCTTTGCAGAGCTATATTATGTACTAGCATGTATATTAAAGAAAATAACACTTAAGAGCTGTATTTAAATTTTAGTTACTTCCATTTAATTCATAAATCTTTTAAGAAAAAGTCCTACTGGGGAATTCTCCAAATCTTGTAAGATGATGAATTAAAAACAATGTCACCTCAAAATACCAAGAGTTGGATAATATATATAAATTATGTAAAGAATAGGTGTACAATAATCCAAATATAATTTCTAATCAAAATAATAAAATATGTTAAGACCAAACTGTTAGAGAAAACTGATGTACATCAAACATTTTGGGGGTCAAATTTCAAAATAAAAACCTGTAAGAATGTCTTAAGATAACTCCTATAGTCTTGAGTCTATGAAGGCTAAACATATAAAATGTAAAATGTAATACATGATCCTTTTCTGTACTTGAAGATGAATTTGAGATTTGCCTAAACTGTGAATCCTACCTCCTTCTAGTAAATACGAGCTGAAAAATGTTTTCCTGAACTATCTTTTGGCACACAAAAAGGTTAGTGATGCTATTAAATGTGCAGGTTGAAAGTTGTCTATTTGGTATTTTTGATGTACAGTATACTGATTGCAGGAGAAATCTAACAGCTCACAGTGAAGAAATTGTTCCTGTACTATAATCTTAAACTTTTCAAATCTTACTATTACTGTTGACAACAATAAACCACAATGATAATTTATTTTTTGGATGAAATGATTCTTCTACCCTAGTTCATTTTATGTTAGTGGTATCTGGCTTTAATCACAGGCAAATATTGATTTTACTATTTGGCCATTTACATTTGGCCAAAATGTATATTTGGTACATCTGTACTAATAGGTATTTAGAGGTCTATCTCTATGCTTCTTGGTAGAGGACCTAGTCTTAGGCTGGTTGAATATTTTTACAATGACCGTTTTAGAAAAATCCCAACTGCTCTTCTTCTTAATTAATATTCTCTACTCTCCCTTTCTTTATTCTCCTTAACACTTCAAATCTGTTCTACACAATTCAATATTAAATTATTCACTGTTTGTACTGTTCACTGTGCTCACCTTATCTTCTCACAGGAGAGTTTTTCCTCAAGGATGGATAATTTAATATTTCATGATGCTTCTTTTGTATTACCCATGGTGCCTAGCACAGTGCTGGTCATTTGATATGTAGTTACTAATTCACTAAGATTCAAGATTAGTAACCACCTTTGGATTTTCATAATTTTCCTTCATAGTTTAAGCTATTCTATAAATAAACTAGTCAAAGCTAAATATCTCACAGTTTGAGCAAATAAAAGATTTCATTTAATAAAACACCGAAGTAATATTGTTTAGTGGTGGAGAAAATAGACACTGTATTTAGATTTAAGATACTATAGGTAAGTCACTTTCTTCATGCCTTAGGTAGATCTACCTATGGTTTCTGCAAGGCAATAACACTATAGTTAAAATAACAGAAAAAAATCATAATATTAGCACCAACCTGAAAGTTCGAACAAGATTTTTAAGTTGTGTGTAAATATCTCCTAGTGTAATCTGAAGAGGCCCCAAAAGTCCAGGCAATCTGAAAGTAAAAAAAAAAAATTACATTTCTTTTAAAATATAATTTAATTATATTTTTTTTTTGGGGGGGGGCGGGGAACTTGTCTAAGTCTGGATTTTCCGTAGGTAATAATGGCACTCAGGTGAAGGCAGTTAAGCTACGTTATAACTGGTAAGACGTCATAAGGAAATACTTCGTAATAACTGCACGACTTTGCTACAGTGTGAGGCTATGAAATATAAAAGTATCATTTTGGGTGCTATCTATATTCTTGTCTCTAGTTTTCTTATCTCTTTACTTTCAAACATTAGGCCAAATAGAAAAAAGACTAGGCAAGAGGAAATGTCCTCCAAGTGAGAGTAAAAATTGGTATATTTCTAGAGAGCAAGTTGACAATATATACATTTTTTTAAATGTGGATACTCTTTGACCCACTAACTTTTTCCCCCCAAAATATTTATTCTACAGAAGTCATCAGATAAACATAAAAAAGATGCTTGCTGCAGGAATACTTTTAGTAGGACCAAAGTGGAAACAATGTTCATCAATACGTGACTGGTCAAATATATACATATACATTATGATATACACATATATATAATGGAATATAATAGAATGTTTAAAATGATATGTGGCCCGGCCAGCATGGCTCAGTGACTGAATGCTGACCTATAAACAAGGAGGTCATGGTACGATTCCTGGTCAGGGCACATGCCTGGTTTACAAGCTCAATCCCCAGTGTGGGCGTGTAGGAGGCAGCCAATCAGTGATTCTCATTATTGATGTTTCTATCTCTCTCTCCCTTTCTGAAATCAATAAAAATATATTTTAAAAATGATTATGTGAATCTATTTTCTTAATGTAGAAAGATATTCATGATAAATGTTAAGTGAAAAATGCATAGAATATTGTCCAATTTTTACAAAAAACCCCATAAATATATAATGCTATTGTATATAATACATAGTATACACCAAATGTTTAATTTCTCCCAGGTTTATACTATAACAGAAGTAATCAAAGAGTATAGATTCACATATACACATATATATCAAGGATAAACATTAAATTATTAACTATAGTTATTGCTGAGTTGTGGGATTACAGGTGACTGTCACTTCTTTATAGCATTTTGTAATGCTTAAATTTTCTGCAATAAGCATGTGTTGCTTTTCTTTTTAAAACTTATTATGAAAGTTTCAAACATGTTCCAAATAGTGGTAACAACCTCATATATCTGTTCTCAGATTTTCTTACATATGCTTCATTTTTCTTCTTTCCTTTCTTTGCTATAATATTTTAAAGTGAATCCTTGACATGTCACTTGACCCCTAAGTATTTCCTCAGGTATCTCTAAATACAAAGGCATTTTCTTATACAACCACAATAAAATTATCATTGTAATTCCTTATTATTCCAAATTAAAAATAATTAATACATTAATAATAGTTCCTCAATATCATCAGTACATCTTTCATTTTATCTAAAAAATGCCCTTTTGCAATTGGTTTGTTTCAATGAGAAACAAAAAAAGTCTCATTTATTTTTTCTGCTCATCCATTTCATATAGGAAGAGGACACAAATCCTTCCTCTTCAGATCATGGCAATTATAATCTCTCCATAAACACAGCCACTAAAATCTATTATTAGGAGAAAATATGGTAGTCAAATGGGAAGGAAAGTCTTACTTTTATAATGGGAAAAATCTCAACTGCTTTTATAAACAACCAACCATCCCTAAACCGCCTATGCCACCATAATTATTCTGTTTTCAGTGTCCTTTGTGCTTCTTTTTCTGTAAGTTATTCCAACTCTTCTGAAATTTATTTCTTGTGCTAGTATCAATAATTTGGTCTTTGAGCAGGGGTCCTTTAGCATGTTCTGTTGCAGCCCAAACCCAGAAGGAACAGAATTTCTTCAATGACATGTCTACATGGTCTTAAATTTAAAACTGGGTACTTTTATTAACTAAAATTCTAGGAAACTATTTTCAGATAAATTCCTTTCTACTGATTATATACCAGTATGGATAACCCATGCCAACTTTAAAAACTATGTAACTAAAGTTAAGGATTGTTCTATAAATCAGATAATGGTGACTTACATTGTTTTCTAACCTAATATTCAACAGAAATGTATAAGTATGAAAACACATAAAAGGCAAAATTAATAACAGATTTATCATATATGAAGAGCCTAACATATAAAAGACATTCAATAAATATTATTTTAAAGAGTTATTTAAAATGTAAAACTTAAAGGAAGGAGTAAGGTCCTCATAATACTATGGCTTCCAAAATGTTTTTGTTATTTTGAATAAACCACATAATTAAGACTTCTCCACATACATACCACCTTAAGCAAGGACTGAAAACACCTTTCCATCTTTTCTATTAAAGAAAGAAAATGCAGGCTAAAAAGTTCAAAACAGCTCTCATACCTCTGGAAAAAAGATTGAAAGCTCCTTTTGAAAGAGAAACCAAGGTTGCAATTTTTAAATGTCATTTATGACTGGGCTAATTACAAGAACAGTAATTTCCACCACAGGAAGCTTAAAACTAAAGTGCAAAGTTGAGTTGAACAAAAACTCAAGTTGCTGAGTGTGAAAATGTTCTATGAATATGTATGCAGACTGAGTTAACAGACTGTTAAAACTTTACAAAGTCTTATTCACATGTGAAACTGATGTGACACATTTACCACAAATCAGTAATTAAATGGGTCTAGCTTTGATATTTTTTCCCCTCTGACTTCATTGGATTATTAAATTAAAGTGAGGTAGTTTGGTTTTCTACTCCCATAATCTCAACCTTCCTCTTTACTATGTGCATCTTGTACACAAAACTTAATTTCAGTATTTCCTTGGTAGGATATCTTAAAAATCAAAATTTCTCAGGTGAAGAAATCCATGTAAACCTTTCACATTATTCTTCACTGTTCAAAATTCAATAACACCTATATATTATGAACCCACAAATACCAAGTTAACTTAAAAATACTGTAAAAGTGGAATGACAATTACATACTTACACTTTACTCAATTTTTCGAGTACGATGCGTTTTCTAATCTGGTTCTGAGAACTTGAATCTATCAGTGGAAAGGTGGGATCATGCTGAATCACATTTTTAAACAAAGCAAAATAAAAATATGAATTTACATTCTTTCTTTGATTAGAATAATTAACATTAAAATACAAAAGTTAATACCTGTGGTATGGTAGAATGAAACCTAGACTTGAAATTTATAAAATTTAAATTTGAGTATCAGTTCAGATTTATGTGAACTTGCCTGAATCATTTGCCCACTTTTGAGTATTTTCTGATCTGCATTAAAAGGAATACTAATTAATACCTTCTTCATTGAATGAGAAAATGCATACAAAAAGACTTTGTAAACTACTAAATGCTATGTAAATGTAGGAAATTAAAAGATAAAAATTAGCAAATAATATAAATATATTATGGGGAATTCCACTTCTAGAAATGGCAGACAAGAAATGGCAAACCACTCCTCCTGCTGAGAAGTGAAAAAGCTGGGGGGAAAAACACGTTCGAAAGCATCAGATTGCTAACAAGGCGGTAAATAATTATGGCCTGAGATTCTGGAGAAGGTAATTCCAGAGAGGCCACTGACTAATTTCAGAAGAGACAATTTAGATAGTGAGAACCCAAGCACTGCTCTTCTAATAGACATTGGGGCATGCCAAGAAAGGAGAGGCACTAGCAACACTCCCCAAGTTAGAGACCAGGACTTAGAAGGATCACACTCTAGGAGTAAGAATGAATAGGAAACAGACTGGCTCTTTTAGGGACTGAAGCCCATCACCAAATCATCATAACTCCTGCTTGGATTAACGAGATATGGCACTGATACAAATTAGCCAGAAGCAAACATAAATCCATTCTAGAGGAAGATGCATTAGCCTGGGTCTCAAATTATCTCTGTAACTTTTAATATACAATGTTTGCCACATAATGAAACACTAAGACAATGTGATCAAAATCGGAAACATTAGTCCATAGAAGTCAATCCTCAGGGAATCCAGATAATGAAGCTATCAGTTTTATTTAAAATAAATGTTCAATATATTCAAAGAAATAACAAGGTTGAAAATTTCAGCAGAGAACTGAAAACTATATAAAAGAACTAAATGAAAATCCTACAAGTGAAAAATATAGTATTTTAAAGACTCAATGGATAGATTTAATAATGTGGAAATAACTGAAGAGAGAATGTTGACTTGGAAAATACCTAGAATGAAGCACAGTCACACCCAACACCCTTCTCCCCCCTCCACATAATGCAAAGCACAAAATAATATAAGAGACAAAGATGATACAGTGAAAAAGACTAACATAACTAACTGGAGCACCAGGTAATATTTGAGAATATTCTAAAACTGATGAAAGAAGTCAATTCATAGAATCAAGTATTACAACAAACAAAAGAACAAATATAACCATACCTACACAAAGGATTTTAAAATTGAGAGTAACCAAAGGAAAATAAAAAGGTCTTAAAAATAGCTAAAGGACTGGCCCTGAATCAAGGCCAGCAGTTTGCTGAAGCTGCTGGTTTCAAGCAGGAGCCTAAAGAAATGTCTTTCTATGGTCTGTTGGCCATTTCAGAACTTAGGAAATGTAATGGTCAATTCATTAGAAAGAAACATCTGAGTAAAAAAAAATAGCTAAAGGAGAAAACATGATATTTGCAAAAAAAAAAACCACACACACACACAAAACAGCAATAAGAGAAATAAATGGAAGCCAAAAGACAAGGGAATATTTTCAATGGGCTGAAAGAAAAAAAACTCTAATCTAGAATTCAATATCCAGAAAAATATCTTTCAAAGGTAAAAGTGAAATAAAAAATTTTGTTACAAACAAAAACATAAAATTAATCACTACAAAATGGCACTAACAGAAACAAAAGATATTCTTTAGGCCCAAGGCAAATGATTCCAGATGAAAGAAAAGAAATTCAGTAAAATAATGAAAGAGTAATTAATTGGACAAAACCAACTGAATACTGACTATAAATAATTTTGTAGAACTGAAAATGTAAAGAGGACAAAAATACACAACAAGAACACATAAGTAAAGAGCAGGTAAACTGAGTTACAGTTGTAAAGTTCTAATTGTCCAGGAAGGAATAAAAGTATTACATGACATTAGACTTTAATAAGGCAAAGACTCAGATTTTAATCTTTAGAGTAACCACTTATTAATTAGCAAAAGAATGTATAAGAAGCTAATGTAGGGTAAAAAATGAATTAATGATATTTAACACAAAGAAAGCAAAATAGGAAAGAAAGAGGAACACAGAATAGGTGGAATGCAGCAAGCAACGAACAAGTGAGATGATAGGTTTAAACCCAAACATCATTTATGACATTAAATGTAAATGGACTAAATCCTCCCCATAAAGGATAAGATGATCAGCCTATATTTAAAATAAGATAATCCTTGAAAATACTAGGGCATGTACCTGGGTTGCGGGCACATCCCCAGTAGGAGATGTGCAGGAGGCAGCTGATCGATGTTCCTCTCTCATCGATGTTTCTAACTCTCTCTCTCCCTTCCTCTCTGTAGAAAATCAATAAAATATATTTAAAAAAAAATGTAAATGGACTAAATCCTCCCCATAAAGGATAAGATGATCAGCCTATATTTAAAATAAGATAATCCTTGAAAATACTAATAAAAGAATGATAGTGTTAGCAAAGTAGACTTTAAGGGGAAAAATAATCAATGTAGAGAAAGGTTACTCCATAATGCTAAAAGTTTAATTTTCCAGGAAGATATACAATCTTACATTTGCACCCAATAACGTGGTCTCAAAATATTAAAAGTAAAATTCATAATACTAAAAGGAGAAATAATAAATCCATAATTAGCCCTAGCCAGTTTGGCTCAGTGGTTAGAGTGTTGGCCCATGGACTGAAGGGTCCCGGTTCCATTCCCAGTCAAGGGCATGTACCTTGGTTGGAGGTCTGATCCCCAACCCCTGTCGAGCAGTGTGTGGTGGAGAGGGGAGGAAACAAATTGATGTGTCTCTCTCATGTTGATGTTTCTCTCTCTCTCCCCCTCCTTCCATTTTGTCTGAAAATCAGTGGAAAAATATCCTTGGGTGAGGATTTAAAAAACAATGTAAATAAATAAGTAAATAAATAAATCCATAATTATGGTGACAGATTTTGACCTACCTCTCTAACTGATGGAATGAGCAAACAAACAACCAAAAAAAAAAAAGAAATCAATAATGCTTCTAAACTTTGATGTGCACACATTTCCCAAAAAGAAAATAATACACTTGTCACCATAAACAAAAATCAATCCCAGATGAATTGCAGATCTTAATGTGAAAGGAAAAACAACATAGATTCTAGAATATTAAACAACCTGGGCTAGGTAAAGATTTCTTAAAGAAGTCACTAAAAGGAGGAATTAATAAACTAAAGACACCAGTAATGAGTGAAAAGGCAAGTCTCAGAGCAGAAGATGGTATTCACAATACACATAACTAAAAATGGGCTTGAGTCCTGAATACATACAGAATTCCTACAGATCAACGGAAAAAAACAAAACAAAAACCTACATATATTCAATAGGTAAATGGGGGGAAAAAAGACACCTCAAAGCATTTCACAAAAGAGACTATCCAAATGGTCAATAAGCAAATGAAATAGTGCTCAACTCATTAATCATCAGAGAAATGTAACCAAAAAGCAATGCCACCAGAATGGTGAAAACTACCAATATCAAGTATTGTGAAAGTGTGGAGTCATGGAAATTCTCATAGTATGGTAGGGGAATACAAACTGCCACAGCCATTTTGGTAAACCATTTGTCATTATCTAGTATAGTTGCATGTATACCCATACATTATGACCCAGAAATTCTAGTCCTAGATACATACCCAACAGAAATGCATGCACATTAGCAGAGACATATATAAGAAAGTTCATACAGCAGTTCATGATAGCCCCAAACTGTAACAGCCTAAATGCTCATTAATATAAATAAATTGTGGTACATTGCTATAATGGAATACTATGTAGCAATTAAAGAATAAAACTAGAGTTAACAACACAAGTGATTCACAAACATAATGTTGCATGAACTAAATTGGACACCAACGAATATATACTGTGTGAATCCATTTATATACAGTTCAAAATTGGCAAAACTTATCTGTGCTATTATAATAGTCGTTCATTCTGGAAAGAGGTAATGGTCAGGAAAAGATATAGTGTGGCTCTGGTTTAGTTTTGTCCTGGGTAGTGCTCATTTGTGATAATTCAATGAGCTACAGCACTGAGTTATACTTCAATGGAAAAGTTCTAAAACGTTATGCAACAGAGGAGCAGTCAAATTTCAGGGATTAATTTTTCCTTCTTAAGGCTTATAAGCACAAAAATGATTAAAACAAATTATGTACTAAGATAGGTTTATGCAGCTGACAGAAATCAATGTTTCTCCATACTTAAAAGTTATAGATACTGTCTAAGAATACAGTTGAAGTGATTTCAAATACAGTACTGAGTTGGGTAATATTCTCTAGAAATATAAAATATTTCTAAATTTTTACTATATTTTCACTTTCACCTTCTTTATAAATCTCCAAATGTTTTTACAGCCACATTTACTCAGAAATCTTTAGTAACAAAGTTTTGTGGTTAAAACCAGACTATTGCCTACTCCTCTTCATATCAAATGACTTCATTTCCCAAACTACACATCAACCAAAACGGGGTATTAGAAATACTGAAAAATCTCCCTAGCCCTCAGTGGCATACATTCAGTCTCCACATATAATTGCTATTTACAGAGTACCAATTATATGACAGGCACTGTGATAAATGCTTTATATATGTTATCTTTAAAACGTGTAACTATTAAGCAAGGGAAGCTACTTATGATCCCATTCACAGATAAGCAATCAAACTCAAGAACTAACTTTTCATACAGCTAGTAAATGACAGAGCAGATATTCAAATCTAAGTCTTACCTGAATGTGCTATTTCCATTTTCTCTATTATTTCCCAATAAGTCTCCTTTAATATATTATTTTCATTCATAACATTTTAAATGGGCATGTTTGCCAAATATTATACAAATATTTTATCATTCAACTAGTAAGTCTACTCCACTGCATACAGTCCCACTGAAAATAACACAAAGATATGTATTCCATGTAGAAATCGGAAAGAATACATATAAACGAAGAAAAAACAAGCCTCTTCAGAGGTTCTACATATATGAAGAACTAGGTTTAAAGAAAATTCTGCCCCACAATTTGAGCCTATTTCTACATTACAGAAAAATGTTCCACATTTATGAAAATTTTCAGGGGCAAACTTCAACTTATTTGGAAAATCGTAATGCCATTACTGGAAATGGCATTTTAAACGAAAAGACTGACAAACTAAAAAAGTCTTCTGAAAATTTAACAATTATCTCCAGTATTTTTCTTCCTGCTCTAAGATTTGCTATGATGAGTGTTCCATATGTTAGCAACATAGAAAATCATCACCATTAAGACGTACCTCTTCTGAGTCTTGTGATTTGGTGGTTTCTTCATTTAAAACATACTGTCCTCTATAAAACTCTCTGATCCTTAGGTTTAATGTTTCAGTTTCCTTTTTCAAGCTCTCATAACTTGGCAGTGGTTTAATGGCTGTATCTGAGGCCCTGAAAGGCAAAGACTCATCCAAGCTGTCCTGAGATTCCCGCAAGGTGGGGGAATGACTATCTGGGTCAGAGTTTATGTCATCTTCATCAAGCTCTTCTTCTTTAACCAGAGGGACTGAAGAGGGTTTTAGACACACAGAAGCATAATTCTGGCCATACAAAAACCTCAAAGTTTCTTCTGTCTTCCACTCAATCAAAGTCTCCTTCAGAACTTTAAGTAAGTTTGCCTTTGCAACTTCAGGACACACCTGCACTGAACTAGAAGCTGACCTAGAAACTTGGTTTGATTTGACAAATTTCCTCTTAAAATGTTCAGCACTTTTCTTACTTATGCCTACTAAAGTTATTTCTGAACTATTGTATTTATTTTCAGGAATTTCTGAAGCATCTAAGTTTTCTCTCGAAGGACTATTTAAAGAAACCTGAGTATTTACCTTCTGTAAAGGAAGTTCACAAGTAGCAGCTTTCTCCTGACTATCTAATCTGCAATTGCCTAACTGCTCAGTAATACTTATTACTGCCTGTTCTTTGTCTTTATGCTTGAAGTTAGATTTTTCACAAGCTTTCTTTTTCATGATGCTTTTTATGTGCAGCTGTTGCCTTATACCCGTTGCATTTGGTCTGTTTCCTGGTAGAATGGAGGAAACAAAGTCTTGCTCATTATCACTGCTACTATCACTATGAATGCTAGAAGAATTAGATTCATATTGCTTCTCAATATGGCCAGGACTGTCAACATCTGATGTTTTAATGGTCTTACTGCATAACTGTACTTCTTCTCCAGAATGGCCACTGTAGAAGAAAAGAAACAAACTAACTGTAATAGAAAAGCAGAATGTCCCATGTATTTACACTTTGTACCTTTCAAGGTAGATATTTTTTATTCCCTATGCAAAGCCTTATTTATAGGCTTATATAAGCCTGTACACACACACACACACACACACACACACACACACTTCAGAAGAAAGCTATAATTACATAATTTCTTCAGTTCTTATTTATTTGATATAATTATCTTCTTTCCCCCTAATTATTTTTAAAATGTTAAAAGAGCCTTGGCCATGTTGCTCAATGATTAGCACATTGGCCTGAGCACCGAAGGGTCACGGGTTCAATTCCTGCTCAAGGGCACGTACCTGGGTTGCAGGTTCAACCCCGTTAGGTTGGGGTGAGTGTGAAAGGCAACCAATCGATGTCTCTCTCTCACATCAATGTCTCTCTCTCTCTCTCTCTCTCTCTCTCTCTCTCTCTCTCTCCACTCCCTCCTTCCCTTTCTCCCATTTCTCAAAATAAATAAATAAATAACAGCAACAACAACAACAAAAACAACCTACTGAACTATTTTTTATTTTAGCCTGTTCCATTGTTTCATATATCCTTTTTTAAAAAAGGTTTTCTTTTGAAAACTTCATTACTGGTTTCTCAAACAAGCAAACAAGCATATATATGTATGTACGTACACACACACACACTTACATATTTATTATAGGGAGCTTTGTTTAGGCTTTGAAAGATCTACATAAACAAAAAGCTAATGACCATAACGCCTTAACAACGGAACAACCAGTTGCTATGATGCCCACCATGGCCAGCGAACCAGCCCGATCAGGGGGTGGGGCCGGCCGGACAACCTCCCGCAGCCCCTCCCCCCGGCCGATCTGCCCCTGATCAGACTCTCCAACCATGACCATGATCAAAGGCAGGCCGGCTGGCCAAACGTGCCCCCCCCCCCACCTTCCCCCAGCTTGCCCGCCCCTTATTGCACCCCCTCACCCAAAAAGGGTACTGAACCAACCTCCTGGGGCCCTCCCCCTGGCCGCCCGCCCCCATCCCCCATGAGCCCCCACCACCCTGATCGGCCCATAGCTCTCCCCAGGCCAGCCCACCCCCTATGGACCCCTACCACCCTGATTGGCCTGCAGCCCTCCCCTTGGCTGGCCCTGCCCTTGATCAGCACCCCCACCCTGATCAGAGGCAGGGCCAGCCAGCTAACCACCCATGGCCCCTCCCCCAGCCCGCTGGCCCCCGTTCGGCACCTCCCACCCCATTTGGGGGTGGGATCCACCAGCCTATGACCCGAGGCCCCTCCCCCAAGCCAGCCCAGCCCTGATGGGGGTGGGCTGGCCGGCCAACTTCCCACCATCTCCTCCTCCTGACAGGCCCAGCCCCAATCCGCCCTGATTGGGGCAGGGCCAGCTGGACTCCACCTGTGCATGAATTCATGCACTGGGCCTCTAGTATAAATATAAAAAGAGATGTTTAAACATTTTCCAACTCTAGTTGATAGAACTACAGAAAGTTCCAAAGAATGAAAAACACAAGGAAGTCAGTCACAATAAAAAAATAAAGTTGGAAAATCAACATTTATCAATGAAAGATATTTATATTTTAAACTCTAGAATTACAACATAATGCTAACAATAAAAAACAACAGTTTTCCCTTTGACTATATTTCTTCAATTTTCAGGTTTAAAAAAAATTAAGAATTATGAAAGAGTGAAGGCAAAGATTAGCTTTGTCTATACAACCTTGAGGTAAAGAAGGATAGTTGAGCAGTTACTCTTAAGCAAATGCAATGATAAGAACTTTAAAGATCCAAATGAGGAGGATTCTGGGTCAAGAAGCATGTACAGGGTAGTGTGTGTATGGAACTCTACTTTTCTGTGCAATTTTTATGTAACCTAAAACTGCTCCTCCAAAAGGCTATTGCATTTTTAGAAATGATTTTTTAAAAATGAAGAGAATGCAGCAGTTTATAAAAGCATGTGGGTTGGGAAGTAAAAGAAGAAAAAACAGAGTTGAAGGTAAGGTTGTGATTAGAAATGAGAAAAGATGACAAGTTTATTCAGTAGTAGATATAATTTTTTAGTTAGAATCTATCCTAGCCCTAACCGGTTTGGCTCAGTGGATAGAGCATCGGCTGCGGACTCAAGGGTCCCAGGTTCGATTCCGGTCAAGAGGCATGTACCTTGGTTGCGGGCACATTCCCCAGTGGGGAGTGTGCAGGAGGCAACTGATCGATGTTTCTAACTTTCTATCCCTCTCCCTTCCTCTCTGTAAAAAATCAATAAAATATATTAAAAAAAAAAAAAAGAATCTATCCTATATCATCAGGGACTTGTCTCTTGTAAGCATAATTTTTTAAAAAATAGAACAATTAAACTTTCATATATTTCAGACTCTCCCCTGGAATTTGAAGTTATTATGTTTTTCTGTACTACTTTGAGCTATAAATTAAAGAAACACATCAATAAGTCAGTGTCTCTCACTTATGGCTCAAGTCCATGTAACTAATGTAGTGACTAATAACCAGGAAAATTTATTCTCGGAGATAAAAGGACATGTTTTGAGAGATGATTAAGGCTGAGAAAGCAACATCATGAGGGGATTTTAGAAAAAAAAAAATCACAACTTGGAACCTCTATTAATGCTTTAAATAACAGATACATTAATGTTTTGAAATTCTATAAAATAAGACTATAAAAACCTTTCAACAAATGTTAATTGGCACAATCTAGTTGACAAAGCAGCATATTATCTCAGATGGAAGCTGTGTTTGAGTCATATTTCAACAGGTTCAATTAGACTTTCTTGGTAGAAAGAGCTATACAATAAATCATACAGAGCAAACACATCATCTTACCATCAGAAAAGAAAAAGCTGTACAAGGCAAATATTTCTTTGTGTGGGCTAGAATGGGCACTAACATAATGCATCAGTACAGGAAGTCAAAGAGCTCATATCACCTGGTTTACTCTTAATGTTTCTATTAACATGAATATATAGAAGGTAAGTGATACTGATTCAACCATACCTTTGTCCTTCCTGTAGCAGCTGAAAATCAGGGTGCCTGTGACAAACACACAGAAATAGAAAATTGAAGGTAACTGATATGTCAAACACTTTCAAGTGTTTACTATAATTACATTGGATAGAAAATATAAAGATTTTTTTAAAGAAAAAATTAAGGGATAAATTACTATGAAACTCGTCCACAAGAAATCTGGATTAATATCTCTACCCCAAATTTACTAATATTTTAGAACTAAGTTCAAATTCCATGAGCCCGATAAAGGTTTCCCTGTCTAACCTTCTCTAATCACTTCCCTGTCTAATCACTCCCTTCTCTAAATTGCAAAGTATGTACAATTAATATATATTAATCATGTCCTCTTCTATGATCTAATACTAAAATTATTATCTAAATGTGTTACTTTTCATGTTTAATTCTGATTTCTTAAATAGACCACAGCTCTTTGAGGGCAGAGATTATAGAAGCTCTTGTATTTCCCTTATACGGTTAGTAAAACTTTTTGCCCTAATTTCTGAGAAAGTAGTTATATTACAGTATGGATGTAAACTGTGTATACAGATGGTTTAATTTAACTCGAGGAATAATTTTGCTATTCAATAACAGAAATCACATTTGGCTGAGCATCATGATATTAAAAATGGGGAGGAAAAAGCTCTTAGGAAGCCAGATATAAAAAGGAACAAATATAAAAGCAAATGAATCCAAGAGAATAAGAAAACTGTAACATACTTCTGAAGTGACTCAGAAAAACTGCCTTATGAAGACTACAAAATGGATTATACGAAAGTAAGTTTACAAAGAACTAAATAAATGAGGTGATATTCCATGTTTATCAATAGGAAGACTCAATATTGTTAAGATGCAGTTCATCTCAACTTGATCTATAGATTCAATGCAATCCAACCATAATCACAGCAAATTATTTTGTGGATGTCAACAAATTTACTCTAATGTTTTTATGGCGAGGCAAATACCCAGATTAGTTAACACAATATTGAAGGAGAAGAACAAAGTTGGAGAACTAACATTACCTGACTTCAAGTCTTACTATAAAGCTATAATACTCAAGATAGTGTAATTATTGGAGAAAGAACAGACAAATAGGTAAGTAGAATAGAATAGAAAGTCACAGAAGTAGACCCATCCTATATAATAAAAGCCTAATATGCTAAGTGTCCAGTCATTTGGTCGGCTGTTCAACCAATAAAAGCGTAATATGTTAATGATATGCTAAGGCCGCTCAACCACTTGCAATGATGTGCACTGACCACTAGGGGGCAGACAGTCGACCGGTTGACCAATTGCTATGATGTGCACTGACCACCAGGGGACAGATGCTCCGACTGGTATGTTAGCTTGCTGCTGGGGTCTGGCCAATCAGGACTGAGCGAGATGGGCCAGACACGCCCTGGAGCCCTCCCACGGTACCTCCCCAGCCCCAATCATGCACCGGTGGGGTTCCTTGACCTGGCCTGCGCCCTGTTGCAATCCGGGACCCCTTGGGGGATGTCAGAGGGCTGGTTTCAGCCCGATCCTGCAGGCCAGGCCAAGGGACACCACTAGTGCATGAATTCATGCACCGGGCCTCTAGTGTGAATATAATCAACTGATCTCTGACAAAGGAGCAAAGGCAACAAATACAATGGAGAAAAGAAAGTCTTTTCAACAAATGGCACTAGAACAACTGGACATCTATATACAAAAAATGAATCTGGACACAGACCTTACACTCTTCACAAAAATACTAGTAACCCAAAATGAATTACTGACCTAAATGTAAAATGCAAAAATATAAAACTACTAGAAGATAACAAAGCAGAAAAACTAGATGACTTCTTAGATCTGACACCAAAGACATGATCCATGAAAAAAAGAAGTGATAAGCTGGACTTCATTAAAATTAAAAATTTCTGCTCTACAAAAGATACTGTCAAGATAATAAAAAGACAAGCAACAGAGTAGGAGAAAATAATTACAAAAGGCATATCTGATAAAGAACTGTTATCCAAAATATGAGAACTCTCAAAACACAACAGTAAGAAAACAAACAATGCAATTAAAAAATGGACCAAAGACCTTCACAGATACCTCACCAAAGAAGATACATAAAAAAAGAAAAAGAGCCCAGCCAGCATGGCTCAGTGGTTGAGCATCAATCTATGAACCAGGAGGTTCAATTCCAGGTCAGGGAACATGCCTGAGTTGCAGCCTCGATCCCCAGTGTGGGGCATGCAGGAGGCAGCTGATTAATGATTCATCATTGATGTTTCTATCACTCTCTCCTTCTTTCCTCTCTGAAATCAATAAAAACATATTAAAAACAAAACAAAAAAAGAGAAAGAGTCCTGGTTGGTGTGGCTCAGTTGGTTGGAGTGTTGTCTATACACCAAAAGGTGGCTGATTTTGACCCCCAGTAGGGGGTGTGCAGGAGGCAACTGATTGATGCTTCTCAAATTGATGTTTCTCTCTCAGCCCTTCTTCTTCTTTTTTCCTCCTCCTCCTCCTCCTCCTCCTCCTCCTCCTCCTCCTCCTCCTCCTTCTTCTTCTTCTCTCTCTCTCTCTCTCTCTCTCTCTCTCTCTCTCTCTCTCTCTCCCCCCCTCTCTCTCTCTCTCAAAAAAAAAAAGAAATATATACATATGGCAAATGAACGTATACAAAAAAAAGAAATATATACATATTAACAGATACCTTCCAAAGAAGACATGCACCAAAGACCTTAACAGATACCTTACCAAAGAAGGTATACATATGCTAAATAAACATATGAAAAGATGCTCCATCTCATATGCCATCAGAGAAATGCAAATTAAAACAAAAATGAAATACCACTCCACACCTATTAGCATAGCCAAAATCCAGAACACATCAAATGCTGAATTGCTGGTGAAATGCAAAATAATAGAGCCACTTTGGAAGACAATTCAATGATTTCTTACAATACTGAACATACTCTTACCATACAATCCACAAATTATGTGCCTTGGTATTTATCCAAAGGAGCTGAATACTTATATCCACACAAAAACCTGCACATGGATATTTATAATAGCTCTACTCATAACTGCCAAAACTTGGAACCAACTAAAATGTCCTTCAGTGGATGAATGAATAAACTGTGCTACAACCAGACAATGGAATATTATTCAGTACTAAAAAGAAATGAGCCATCAAGCTATGAAAAAACACGGAGGAAACTTAAATGCATATCACTAAGTGAAGGAAGTTAGCCTGAAAGGCTATATACTGTTAATAATTCCAACCATATAACATTCTGGAAAAGGTTAAACTATGAAGACAGTAAAAAGATCAGGAGCTGTGGGGGTGTGGGCAGGGAGAGGAGAAAGGACTAGGTGGAGCACAGAGAACTTTTAGGGCCTAATATTATAAATGGTGGATACAAGCCATTATACATTTGTCCAAACCCATAGAATGTACAACATCAAGAGTGTATCCTAATGTAAACCATGGACTTTGGGTGATAAGAACATGTTGATGTAGGCTCGTCAAATGTAATAAATGTACTATTTTGAAGGAGGAGGTTGCTAATGGGGGAGGGTATGATTTATGTGGGGGCAAAAGGCATATGGGAGATCTCTGTATCTTCTTCTCTATTTTATTGTGAACCTAAAATTGCTCTAAAAAGTTAATTGTTAGAAAAAAGAGTAAATATAAGGAAGCAGTATGCATTAAAGAGAAGCTAAGACACTGAACATAAATTCCATTTAAAGGGCAAAATAGGGCTGCAATGAAGATCATATTACAAAAACCTTCAATTAAAAAAAAGTAAAGCTAAATGGCTAGCTAGAACCAGAAATCATTTGAGTTATAACACTTAAAGACAACCAGGGAAAAATGAGAGTTACAAGTATATATATACACACACACACACACACACACACACACATATATATATCCTATCTAATAATAGACAAACATGGTAATTAACCATACCTCCGCTACGCTTCCCATTGGCTAATCAGGGTGATATGCAAATTAACTGCCAACCAAGATGGCGGCCGGCAGCCACGCAGCTGAAGAGAACAGGAGGCTTGCTTGCTCCAGTGATGGAGGAAGCCAAGGTTCCCCGCCTGCCGCGGCCCAGCTCTGAGCTGCACTCTAAGCAACAGTGCTGCAATTATAGAAGCTAAACAAACCCTAGATACCTGCTTTCAGCCAGCCGGCCTCAAAGCTGGAGCCGCAACAAAGTTTCAATTACAGAAGGTAAATAAATCCCAGAATAAAAAAAAAAGAAGAAAAGGAGAGACTGGGAGCTTCAGTTGCAGGCTTGGCCCGCTTGAAAACAGCCATCAGCCCCTCATCCAGGCTGGCCAGGCACCCCAGTGGGGACCCCCACCCTGAAGGGGGTGCGGGCAGCCTGAAAACAGCCATCAGCCCCTCATCCAGGCTGGCCAGGCACCCCAGTGGGGACCCCCACCCTGAAGGGGGTGCGGACAGCCTGAAAACAGCCATCAGCCCCTCATCCAGGCTGGCCAGGCACCCAAGCAGGACCCCCACCCTGAAGGGGATGCGGGCAGCCAAACCAGCCGGTCCCCACCCGTGCACCAGGCCTATCCTATATAGTAAAAGGGTAATATGCAAACTGACCCTAACAGCAGAAAGACTGGGAATGACTGGTCACTATGACACACACTGACCACCAGGGGACAGATGCTCAATGCAGGAGCTGCCCTCTGGTGGTCAGTGAGCTCCCACATGGAGGAGCTCTGCTCAGCCACAAGCCAGGCTGATGGCTGCCAGTACAGCGGTGGTGGTGGGAGCCTCTCCTGCCTCCTCAGCAGCGCTAAGGATGTCTGACTGCAGCTTAGGTCTGCTCCCTGCTGGCAAGTGGACTTTCCCCGAGGGCTGCAGGGCTGCCAGAGAGATGTCTGATTGCCATCTTAGGCCCAATCCCCCAGGGAGCAGGCCTAAGCCAGCAAGTGCAGGTGGTCATCCCCCGAGGGGTCCCAGACTGTGAGAGGGCCGGGCTGAGGGACCTTCCCCCCACCGAGTGCACAAATTTTTGTGCACCGGGCCT